CTGAAATTTTGTGATTTATTTTATGACACCTAAGGTTTGAGTGTTTGGGTTACTAAAAATGTATTTATACGTAGTTTTATGTCCCTAAGGTTAACTGACTTGGTTTGCCATTGGGAGCAGGAGTGGGGGAGGTAGTAGTTTCAGGGTTATGATCCAATTTGTGTTCTTGAAATACATCCATTGTAACTGTATTCTGTGTTGCACAGGACTTTGTTTTTTGCAGTTTGAATTGTGGGCCTGTGAAATTTTATTAACTTCTTTGAGAAAACTCTGCATCAGCATTGTATTTGTTCTACCAAATTACCTTGACTTTTTAATTGAAAGGCAGTTTATTATAATTTTAGTATCATAAAAAGTCATAGAAATACTTAACAATTATGTAGTTTGAGCCCTCTCTGACAAGCAGGAAATTATCTTGTCTGCCTGACTTTTCGTAGATGACATTCACCCACTGGATCAGACAAACCAGTGTATAAAGATACTGTATCAGACTCTAAACTAAAAACTCAAATGAAAGTCAAATTCAAATCGGCTTCTACTTTGTGCATGTCCCAGAGCACTGGGGAGTATATGAATTCAGTCCTGACACAGCTACTTTTCCCCACTTTGATTATGAATGATCTTAATTTAACCCTTTCCTATGTAAACTATTTTGATCCTTTATGCAATAACAAGTGATTTCAGCACATCCATCTAGTGTAAAACAACCTCTTGGTCATCATTTTCATATAATAGAAGAAGCAAACCCCAAGAGTGAGAGAATTAAATGAAAATACTTGCTTTTTCTTTAATTTTTTAATGTTTATTTTATTTTTGAGAGGGAGAGAGACAGAGCGTGAGCGGGGGAGGGGCAGAGAGAGAGGGAGACACAGAATCGGAAGCAGGCTCCAGGCTCTGAGCTGTCAGCACAGAGACTGACACAGGGCTCGAACTTAGGAACCGTGAGATCATGACCTGAGCTGAAGTTGGATGCTTAGCCGACTGAGCCACCAGGCACCCTGAAAATACTTGGCTTTTTGACTACTGGCCTCTGAAGTTATATTATACATCTCAGCTCATCTATCCTACATGTAATAGGAATTCTTATAAAATGAAGTGAGAATATTTGTGTCAAGGATCCTGCACAAGGGCTGAGTTACGTGGCTCCCTGGTGTAGACATTAGGTCTAGGGGTCTTGCCACTCAGTGATAGCCATTTCTGAATCAGTGAGCTAAGAAACTTACAGGGGGCAGGTTGGATCAGCTGCTATTTCGTTAGTTTACAATACAGTTCTTTTTTTTTTAATTTTTTTTTTAATGTTTGTTTATTTTTGAGACAGAGAGAGACAGAGCATGAATGGGGGAGGGGCAGAGAGAGAGGGAGACACAGAATCGGAAGCAGGCTCCAGGCTCTGAGCCACCAGCCCAGAGCCTGACGCGGGGCTCGAACTCACAAACCATGAGATCGTGACCTGAGCTGAAGTCAGACGCTCCACCGACTGAGCCACCCAGGCGCCCCCAGTTCTTTTGTTTTTAAATAGCTAAGATACGCACAAAGTAAATAATTCAAATTCAAATAATAGGAAAAAGGTATAAAATGAAAAATGTCTACCCTCCTGTGGCCTCCAGTTTTTCTCTTTAGAGGCAACCCTGTATGTCAGTTTCTTAGGTATTTGCCCAGAGAATTCTATAAATTTACAAACAGCAATGTGTGTGTTCTTTTTAAAAAGATAACACTCTTCACCTTTTTCACTTACATACCTTAGATATCATTAATATCAGTATAGACAGAGTTACTTCCATTTTTAATAGTTGCATAATACACCTTTGATGTTTGATACATTTTTAAACAACCAACCCCCTATCGGTGGGCACTTAGCTTATTTAATAATCTTTTTGTACTACAAACAATATTGCAATGAGTGTTCTCCATAATCTTGTACCTGCATAGCTATAGAATAAATACCTAGAAGTGGAATTGTTGGGTCAAAGAGTAAGTGCATTATTTATTTTGAAAAGCATTTTCAAATTACCATCAGAAGATGAACTATTTACAGTTCTATCAACAATGTTTAATTATAATAGAAGTCTAATATTTCCAGTGATAAAGATTTCCTCTTCCCTTTCCAGAATTCAGATACCTAGGAAACCAAAATCATAAGATTCTTAATGAACATGAAATGAAACCAAGGGAGTTGGATGATCTTGAGTTTTCAGATGGGGCCCCCTGCTTCACCAAGCTCTGCTTCTCTGAGAAATTCTGTGTGTGTGTGTGTCTCATTTTTTTTTTTTTGTACCATGCTTGATAAAAATCGATAAAACCAAACCTCTCTTTTCAAGACTTCATACTGATAGTCCTCTTTTTGTATATCCTTATCATTACATTATCATTCTTTCTTTCTTTTACAACATGCAATTGTTCTATTATATACATATTGTGGTAATTTTTCATTTTCACTTGCCTGATTATAAACTACATGTAAGGGTATATTTCAGACATAAAAATGTCAAAAGGATTATTTCCAAATGTGTTTCCTAGAAACAGCTGATTCTATTAGTAGTTTGTGAATCTTTAGAAGTAGCACTTCCTGGTTCTTAAGAGATTGATTCTTCCTGGCATTTATTTCAATATTCTCTTATTTTGAACTCTTAGACTCATCTGTGTTTGGGTCGATAGCCATCTCTGCTCTGATTACCACTGACTGGCTGATAAATTATTATAGAGTGTTTTGTAGATAGAATATGCTATAAAAGCTACCGATGACATTCCATCCCTACATTTCCAAATGTCCCACTAATGAGTCACATGAGAAGAGGAATGTGTTGATTTGTTTATGTGATATGTGTCTAGCAAATATATAGTGAGCATGAGGGGTTTTGTTTTTAAGAATCTTGAGGGGCGCCTGGGTGGCTCAGTTGGTTAGGCGGCGGACTTCGGCTCAGGTCATGATCTCACAGTCCGTGAGTTCGAGCCCTGTGTCGGGCTCTGTGCTGACAGCTCAGAGACTGGAGCCTGCTTTAGATTCTGTGTCTCCCTCTCTCTCTGACCCTCCCTTGTTCATGCTCTGTCTCTCTCTGTCTCAAAAATAAATAAACATTAAAAAAAAAAGAATCTTGAAAGTTACTTCATATTTTAAGTGGTATTTATTTTAACTATCAGATGCTTCCCGTTTAGTTCTGTGAAAATGTGGTCACTGCTTTAGCCAGTAGTATGTTCTTTATTCACAGTCATCCTTTTGTTCTCTCTTTTCATATGTGTCTCCTAGTCAAAGAAAATCAGTATAATCACCAGCTATTTGTGTTATTAGAATGACTAAATATTGGAGCGCCTGGGTGGCGCAGTCGGTTAAGCGTCCGACTTCAGCCAGGTCACGATCTCGCGGTCCGTGAGTTCGAGCCCCACGTCGGGCTCTGGGCTGATGGCTCAGAGCCTGGAGCCTGTTTCCGATTCTGTGTCTCCCTCTCTCTCTGCCCCTCCCCCGTTCATGCTCTGTCTCTCTCTGTCCCCCAAAAAATAAATAAACGTTGAAAAAAAAAATTAAAAAAAAAAAAAAGAATGGCTAAATATTTTATAATCCTGAAAGGCTAGTGTAATTAGAGGAGGAAATGGAAGTTGAGGTTCCTATACAGAAATTTTTTTTCCAGGGCATCTGGGTGGCTCAGTTGGTTAGATGTCTGACTCTTAATCTCAGCTCAGGTCAGTCTCGCAGGCTGTAGGATCAAGCCCCACATTGGGCTCTGTGCTAACATCGTGGAGCCTGCTTGGGTTCTCTCCCCCTCTCTCTGCCCCTCCCCTGCTGGCACACTCCTCTCAAAATAAATAAATAAATATTTTCAAAAAAGAATTTTTCCTTAACAAATATTCAAAATATTTTCCCAGAAAAAATAAAATATTTTCCCCAAAGTTCCCCTCTACTTGCTGGATGGGATGCTGCCCAGTTATGAATCATTTAATAAAGCCAATTAGATCTTCAGAATTCTTAAAATGTATTTTCCTGCTAACCTTAGGCTTAGAATGAATTCTACTCATTATTATCTGTGGGTCTGATATACTTACTAGTCCAAAAGTGATGTGTTCTATAGGATATCATTTTTACCTCGTTGGTTCTTTTTTCACTTTCAAATTTAAAATAATGAGCATTTGTAGCTATGAAAAAATTCCTTGGAGTTGGGTGCATTTCCCTAGACATTTTTCTAAGAATAAGAATAATGCCCTTATTCAAAGATCAACGATTTCACTACAGAATAGGGTTAATGGGCTTTTTATTGCTAACCTGGGAATCTAACCACTATTTATTATACATTTCTGGGTGAAGTTTTATTCTATCTTCCTAAAAAGTTACATATTTTTAATTTTTTCTCTGAATTTTTATTTAAATTCTGGTTAACATATAGAAAGTTATGTATTTTTTAAAAACTGTTGACATAAAATTCAAAATTCCAAAAACACAAAATTCCAAAACTGAAGACTAGTTATATTTTTAGCATTTCTCCGGGAGTTACATACTGAATATTTTTATTTTGTATTTGAAGATGATTACTAACCAGTCCTTTTAAATATGTAATTTTTAGGAACACTTAATGTTTCTTACATTTATTCTTAGATTTTAAGTTTTCTTTAAAATTATAGAATGAGTTTAGATTTCAAATTAAGTTGCTGTATTTTATCTAAACCTCTGTCTGCCAGGAGTGTGACTGAGGGAGAAGAACCCTTTTAATTATATATTATAGTGGTGAAATGATTATAGTGGTGAAGTCACTTCTGTGCTTTGAAGTAATCCAAACCAAAATGATAAAGCAAATCCTGATGGTCATCTGGCAACAAAACCTTCTCCTATCTACTCCACAAAACCTGAGCAAAGAGCTGACAGATATGTGATGCTTTGTCAAACTTTATCAACTACCATTGAAAAGATATGAAATTCCAGAGTTGATACTTCTGAAAGAGAATACCCAGAAGATCTATCTGATATGACTCACTGTTGCTACCATGAAACTAAAATGTTTGTGTTTTCATTTTAGTGACATTATATGCCTCCTGCATTCTCCTGGGAGTGTTCTTGAATAGCAGTATACCTATATTTTTTGAGCTTTTTGTGGAGACTGTCTACCCAGTTCCAGAAGGAATTACTTGTGGAGTTGTTACTTTTTTAAGTAATATGTTCATGGGAGTACTTTTATTTTTTCTCACATTTTATCACACAGGTAAGAAATTTGACTTTTTATTTACTATCTAAATGTATTACGAGAGAGGTTTGTGGCACTGGTGTATAGGGAATTTATATGGAGAATTCTCACCAAAGCAAATTACTTTGACAAAGCTTTCAGGTGCCTAAAAAAAAGATCCTCCGTTTTGTTTTTCTTGAAATGCATCCTAGACTAATGTAATGCACCCTCACTCCCTAGAGTTTCTGGTTTAATTAACCTGGACTGGGGCCCTGTATTTATATTTTTAAAAACCCACCAAGTGATTCTAATACACTGGTTCTTGTTGAGAACCACTGGTATATTGCTTTTTAAAAGATACTTAGAATCTACTGTCTTAACATAAGGTACAAGTTAAAGTCAGAGGTAGATTTGTAGTGTCAATCCTTAGAGATGAATGAGAGGTCACCCAAGGAGTGGGTAGAATATAAGGAACAGCACTCTCCAATGAAACTTTTTAGGAGGCTGGCAGTGTTCTTTACTGTCCAGTACAGTACCACTAGCCACACTCAGCTAGTGCAAGTAAGGGATTGGACTTTTTACCATTTTATTTTAATTAATGTAAGTTGAAATTTAAATAGCTACACATAGCTAGTGGCTAGTGAATTGGTCAGCACAGGTATAGAGTGAAAAGAAGGTTGAAGTACCCAGTGGGTACGCCTTTGAAAAAAAGGGAGGCCCTTACAAGAGAGGAAGGGATGGGGTCCTGAACTCAAGTGGAGGAGTTAGACTTGGACAAAAGGAGTTAGGAGAGGAAGCAGTGCGGGCAGCCACAGAGGCAGACACGCTTCCCAGGGCGATTGTTGAAGGAGCTCCTTCTTGATGGCACCAGCTTCTGCTTAGAAGCCAGTTGTCTGTCAAGAGCTGGTGGGAAGATAGTGGAGACAGGGCTTAAGGAGAGAATGGAACATTAAAATAACCTTGGAGGGATGGGAGGAGACACCACAGGGACAGCTGGAAAGATTGCTGGGCACACTGAAGGCAGACCACCTGAGGTTGGGATCCATGGGTTTGTAGTGACTCCGTTTTGCACAGCTGTTTGGTTTTCTCTGATACTCATTCTTCTCTGTCCAAAATCTGTCTTGCTGTTTTGAAACATTTGAGCATAATTATCTAGTATTTTTTTCTTGCATGTTAAGGATTTATACTTGTGATTCTTGAATGTAAATTTTTATTAATTTCTACTAGGCTTGTATCCTATTTTATTTCCTCATCATAAGCGATCTGTTATTACTACCTTTTTTTCCTCATTGCTTTTCTCTTAACTGCTCATCAAATACCAGTAAATTTGGATAATTTTTACATGGAAGAATCTAATTTTAAGATTCAAATGTAACACATGCTCTAAAGTGTAACAATCCAAGAGGCCTAATATTTTATAGGAAACTTCCTGACAGTCTTATAATTGAAATAATAGCCACAATAACCACCTTGACTGGAAAATACATTTTTGAAACTTTCAAAGCTGATGAAACAGAATCTGGCCTGGGTTTTAGACAACTTTTAATATAACATTTTCACCTAACAGCAAAAAGCATCCAAATGATATGTTAATTTCTTAATATATATGATTAACAACAAACTAGATCATTTCCACCAATCAGTAATGCAGGCGAAGTAGGTTTTAACTTTCCTAAACTTGATGTGAGGTCAGTTTCTCTTATGAAGGAGAGAGAGATTGATGAAGCCAGACTCCTGTTGACAGTCCTCTTGAAAACATGTGTTTCCATTAGGGAAAATGCCATCAGGAGGTGTTAGAATAAGGTCTTTCCCTCCAATGTGTTTTCTAAACAGAACAAACAATTCTAAATAGAATAAACAATTATTACACATCAGCTTTAATCCACTTCAGTTTGTCACAGTTGAAATTAAGAGGCTTAATGCCTCTCTTTTTGCATGGTAAAGTATGAGAGATGGCTATGTTGCCCCTTCAGGTGATAGAAACAATTTTCCAGCCCATGGACACAGCTCTGCTAAGTGGTCCCTGCAGCCTGGTAGAGCGTGTTTTTTTCTGTCTAATGGGAATAAGTTTTGTCCTCCCAGTATATAAAAATGACAACAGTAGAAGCCCGATAATGTTATCCTCCAGAAACCTCTTGCATGTGGTCTCTAAAACATAACACACGTTTATTCATCAGTTTAAGGCAGAGACTAACTACCCTTACACTGACTATGGAAGAGCCCAGTGTACCCCTGACCATCTTGCTTGGCCAGTAGAGAGTCTGTGTCACTCTGCTGGTCCAGCTGCAGCTTTCAACTTGTTCAACAGAGACTGGAGTCTGGCGCAAGGGTACTAGAACTGACATCAGTTGGCGTTCACCCCCCATTTTGCAGATTCCTAGTGACCAGGTACAAGCAGATGTTTTTTCTTTGGCATAGGTGGCAGAAGAAACACTTAGCAATGTTTCTGCTAATTCCTGTCTCATTGATGTGATCAAGGATTTATCTAGCTGGGGAAAAAAACTTCCCTCTTTTTGCTTGGTTTCTGGTCACATGTTTGTATACATCTCTTGTGTGGGTGTTAAAGGTTTCTGCCTAATCTCCATGATTATTATGAAAAATGAAACTTTAATTATTAATTTTAATCCGGCAAGATGATTTTCAGGAAAAAAGAAAATCTCAGTTCATTTTGATATTTTAGAGAGTTAATGAGAAGGTATGTGTGAAAGAGCCCTAGGCCAGGGCATTACTGGCACTCACCAAATGTTTGTTTTGTTTCCTTCTAGATAATTTGCTGTTTGCTGGTAATAATTTAAATATCTAGGCTTCTTTTTTTTTTTTTTTTAAGTTTATTTATTTTGAGAGAGAGAGAGAGAGAGTGAGCAGGTTGGGGGCGAGAAAGAGAGAGAGAGAGATTGAGCCATTCAGGCGCCCCTAGGCTTCTGTTTTCTAGGGGTGCCTGGATGGCGCAGTCGGTTGAAGCGTCTGACTTGGTTTTGGCTCAGGTCATGATCTCATGGTCCGTGAGTTTCAGTCCCGTGTTGGGCTCTGCGCTAATAGCGCACTGCTTGGGATTCTGTTTCCCTCTCTCTCTCTGCCCCTCCCTGCTCACTCTCTCAAAAATAAACATTAAAAAAAAATGCCTTTTACATGTTTATTTGTTAGTGTGTGTAATAAACGCATACAAATATGCCCACATCTCTCTAAGGCTAAGGTTACTAGAACCATGAAGACCTTGTTGAGGCTCTTTCATGTATGACTAGTTGATCTCGCCCCACAAGTCCTGTAGCAGGAGTTCACATGCCTCACAACTGAGGTTTGAGGATACATACATTACAAGTCTGAAGATTCTGCAAAGTTATCTCCTAAAAATAACTTTCAGTTCCCCAGCCAGTACCCCAAACATTTCATAGGATGAATGGAAGTCCCTTCCATTACAGCCAGCATTCAAATGCCATAATTCAGTCACGTTAAAACTTGAAAAACTCACCCAGAAGTTAGTTACATGTCAGGACTCAATTCCGTCAGTTATGTGATTGGAAGGCCTGTATTTTAATCATCATGAAGATCTCTGGTTTCGTAGGTCACTCCTTGAAGAAGTACTAAACTTTCTGACTAGCATTTTATTTCCCCACAACGTGCTACTTAGTGGGTGACTGTGTCAGATATAATTTTCCAGGGCTATACAGACTAGCCCCAAAATGACCACATTAGAATGGCTTGCCAAACAAGAAAGCCTCCACTGGTGATTTGTTTGCAGATCATGGCCATTGCCATCATTGACGATGGATGTCATACCAGTTTCTATGCCAGTGGCACTGGCTTCTTTGGAGCCCTGGGCCACAGGGTCTCCCATGTCCTGTTTTTATTCTATTTGGGGGTACCTGGAACAGTGTCAGAAGTTTTTTAGAGTTTTTCTGTCTTGGGGTTTTCAAGGTCACTTTCAAAAAAAAAGAAAAGAAAAAAAAGAAGCCAAAAACTGTTACTTGCTCCCTAATATAAGCATATTTATAAAACTGAGTTGCTTCGTATAATGTTTGCCTTGAGAATCTCAGTGAGTTATTTCAGGCAGTGCAATGAAGCTTTATTCTAATAACTTCAATTTGACAAAATCAGTCTGAGGGTGCTCTTAGGTTCTTTATATGCTTTGAAATATATTCTCATGTTCTACTTGATAGTTTGTAGCTTGTTCTGAAGTTTGTATTGTTTGCTATTTTTTGTTGCTGTTGTTCTAGAAGCTTTGCAGCAGGTTTTGGCTAAATGAACTAAACGTTTTTACCTCTGGCCTTTCATTTTTGAAGTAGCTGACCACATGAATCTGAGGCTGCATTGTGGCTCAAAAGATTCAGGAGCCTGGCTGAGGGGGAGGCATTGACTGGTAGTTACCAGAATAGGTTCACCAGGTATGGACTAGTCAGGAGTAATTTTATATGTAGGGAGTAATTATACAACATTATGGTTAGATCCTATTGGATACTTAGTGTGGAGTGAAGACAGAAGGGCATTATACCATGAGATCATGATGTCAGCTGGCTCTTCTTGAGGGTGAATAGAGGCAATTTTGTCAAATCATCATAATTCTGGTTAAATCCCCAAAGAAAGTAGAAGGTTGGTTCCGGAGGGTGGTATCTGGGAACAGACAAGTACTCAAAGGTGATAGAAAACAAAAGCATAACATCATTAAAGGGAAAGATGAGATGAAGAGTATAAGAGTGCTTCTAGAAGAAAAAAAGGAAGAGGATGAGCGAAATCCTAATTAGATAATCCCAGAAGAACATCACCATTTGGTGCAGAGCCCACTTCACTGAGTAAAACATAGCATAGCACCTGTCTAAACTGTAAAACTGGCAGACAGTACTCAGGATGCAGTATATATAATAAATGATAGAGAACCAGCAAAAACAGAGAGAGAGGCAAACTGTGTAGAATGGATTCGTACTTTCTCTAGTGAAAGACCGAAAGAAGGAATATTAGAAAGCTGTGTTCCTTTTAAAAAGGTGTCAAGTTTAAGAACGTTTCAATGAATCAGGATTCTCTTGGTTCAATTATGTCATATGACACCAGGCTCAGAAAGGACAGCAGGTGACTTTGCTACTGGAAGGTCATGTTAAACTTTTAAGCAAGCCATTTCCTGCTTATTAGAGCACCTAAGCTGTGGTTCATGTGAACGGTTTTCAGTGGGAAAATATATAGATGCATACCTTTTTGCTTTCTGAAATGGCAAATAATTTCAAAGAATACTTGTAGTTGGTTGATCCAAGTGAACTTAACTAAAAGGTGGACTTAACTTTTCAGAGGAAGGCACAGTAGTAAAAACCAACTGTAAACCATAACACTAAACAGCAGTTATGAGGCATTTTTATAGATTTCATCTGAACCCAGGGAGAAGGAATAATTTACAACTCTGATGAAATAAAAGGTCTGCTTTCGCAATATTCGATAAATTTCTAGGTTTGAGGAAAGCAAGGACAAGTTGGTTGTTGCTATATGTGTGTTACTGTAGCTCCCCATAAAATACAGTCTCTTAAGATTTAGAAAATGTCATTGTTGTAGACTACTTTGTCAAGTACCATACTTTATTTTAGCTGTTGCTTAAAAGTCAGAATGTTCACTTAAAAAAAAATTTTTTTTAAATGTTTATTTTTGAGAGACAGAGACAGACAGCATGAGCGGGAGAGGGGCAGAGAGAGAGAGGGAGACCCAGAATATGAAGCAGGCTCCAGGCTCTGAGCTCAAACTCACAAGCCGTAAGGTTATGACCTGAGCAGAATTCGGAACCGCCTGAGCCACCCAAGCGTCCCCAGAATGTTCACTTTTAATATAAACAGTATGCTGTTCTGTTTTACTGCTTTTTCTCTTATTGTTTTTAACTGCTTCTTTTTGCCTGTTAAAATTATCATCAGAAATCCAGAAGCTACATGGTTAATATAAAAGCTGAAAATGCTGGTGTGTCATTTCAGGGGATATTGGAATAAAGACAAGATTCCAGGGGTCACAGCCTTCCTGGGTGTTTAGATTATACTCAATCCAAGTAAAGCACAGAAACAGCTTTGCATAGAAATACCATTGAAATATAGGTCTTTGTTATGCTATAGAATAGCATGTCTGACTTTTAAAATGTAAAAATTGAGAGGTGGGGAGCCTGCTTTTGTAAGCATATTACAGAAAAAAAAGTATTTCAGCACCTTTTCTTACCACTTGGTTTTCTGATTTCCATTCCTGAGCATAAATTGCTCTTTTAGCCATATGAATTATGGATTGATTGAAAGCAGCAGTGTAGAAATCTTTAGGATGATTTTTGAAGATTAAGGCAGTATTAGTATTCTGTAGAAGTACAAAAGGAAAATATAAACCTATAGCAGTGCCCAAAGGAAAAAAATGTACCAGGGAGCTTTTTCCCTTCATTTGTTGTTGTTGTTGTTGTTTTCATTGAAATTGCTAAATAGATATTAAACTAGGGAAGTTATCCCCACCACCACCAACCCAACCTCTTCATGCCAGGGAGCCGCTCACTTGTGCTCCCAGAGCCTCAAGATTGCCTGCCAAGGAGGGTTGGGTAGAAGGAAGCCAAATGGATGCACAGCTCAAGGGCCACGGGAGCTGGAGGAGGCAGCCACGGGCAGCCACAGCGAGTGGGTGTGTCTTGTTAGCACAAGGCTGGGACTGGCCTGTAGGCAAGCCCTGAATTCACGAGCGAGCATTTTTGAAGAAGGATGTTCTTGATACCATTAAAGCAAGTAATGGCAGAATCACCTGTTTAGAGGATTCCTGTAGGTTTTCAGATAATGGGCATCATTTATGCTGGTAGGGGGGAGAAAAGAACAGAAAGAAACAAACCAAAATATTCACAGTAGTTTTTCTGAGGGTAGAATTAGGATTAATTTGTTAGATTTTACTTTATTTTTTTCATACATTTTCTAACCTGTTTTACAATCATTACTACTTGCTAAGCACTAGATTTTTCTGTCCAAGGAAATCTAAAAAAGTTATCTCAAAATTCAGGTCATTTTCTTATCTTTAACCCATCAGATATTTCTAAACAGAGATGAGAGTGATAGTGATAGCATTAAAAAATAGCAAACGAACATTTAAAGGTGATTGATTATTTTTTCTTTGAAGAAATGGATTTTTTTTTTTTGCCACCAAGGTCAAGGTGAGTTAAACTGATGAAAAGTTATTAATAATATTGATTTAAAATGTTCCACATGAAAGCGGTATAATACATCATATGTATCACCCAGACTCCAGATCGCCGTTTATTGAACACTGGTTTCCAGGCCTTCCGTGATGCATTTAGTGTAACTGCTTTGGAATAATGCACAGCGATTGCTCCCGGCATACAGGTGCCATTCTGCTGGTGACGTGTGAATGCTTACAACTGTGTGTTTTTGTCTTACAGAGTTGTCTTGGTTCAACTGGTGCCTTCCCGGGTCGTGTTTGCTCAGTCTCCTCCTCATTCTGTGCTTCAGGGAATCCTATGACAGACTCTATCTTGATGTGGTTGTCTCAGTTTAATAGCACAGACTTGAAGGAGTTTGAAAAGGGACTGCAAATCGTACGGCATACTGCACATTTGCTTGGAGTTGCACACCTAACAGGAAAAAAAAAGGAGAAGAGAGAAGCTTCACTCAGAGGTTTTGTCAGGTTACAGATGATCATATTCATTTCATGACTACTAGGTAACAATAATGTGGGACTTGAGTGATAATAGGGGGCTTAAAGACTCTAAATGGCATACCCGTGCCTGGTTCTGGGGTTAGAAGTGTGGATATCTTACACATAAAGCACTACCTAAATAATGCCCTCTATGTTCTGTGCCAGTGCTAAACTACTGATTGATTAATTATAATTATGGGAAGAAATAAAGGGTATCTATCACATACCTTACCGAAGTCACATATCAGAATAGGAAGAAATGCCACTAACTTCTAAAGAAGTTTAAACCCTATATCAGATTTTAATTATAAAATAGCCAACAGGTATATCAATGATAAAAGTTAGCCACATGTACACTACGTTTTTTCTAATAAAGCCATTTCTTATATGACTCCTTATTTTTAATTAGGTCGGAAACCTTTGGCCATCTTTATTATGGTGAGCAAGTGCTTCCCAGTGACTTCAGAGCACATATTTGTGTCTCGATCTCAACTTATCCTTGTTTCTGTGAAATACAGTTTCATCTACTAGGCTCTTAAATAATTATATTAAAGGTGACTAAATGTTTAATATAGTCGCATTAAGTATTGTATGAAAAATGTAATTCCGTTCTGATTTAGCACTTTGTTAAAAAAGTGAAATGACAAATCACATAGAACATTCTGTGTCTTCAGCCTATATATATGCATATGTACATGGTGGTGTGGGATGTAAAGTCCAGCACCAGCTGTTATTTCCTAGGGTTGCATTTTACTAAATGGTCCTTGTTTGAAAATAACAATTTATAACCTTGAAATCTTCAAATCTGTTGAGTTATATCTGAATTACATTCTTGTGTTTCAATTCAGGTTGTTTCAATTCAGTTCTATATGGAGTCAGTACATTTGAGAGGACGATATTTTGCCAGTACCTGTTTTCTTTGTATGGAGGATAGCTTTTAAAAAAATGACAGTTACTCATTGGACAGCTCTCAGACATATATTTCACTGTGACATAAAATATGCTCTGGTGGGATTATGCTGTTACCACTGTTCACATTTACATAATTCCCCTTACCCAAGGAAACCAAACGTTTTCTCAAAAAGACAAAAACAGTACTTTCTTTGCCTTCATTATTCTCAGCTTCCTTCCACCCCCTCTTTTTCTCTTCAGTTGAAATTTACATCTTCCTCGTCAGCCAAATTTGTATTTTATTTGTCTTTTTCTGGACAGAGCACAAGCCAGCTCCTTCCATTAGCCATGGGGACAAAATGCAGTTAGAGCCAGTCAGCCCTCAGTTCTGCTCCTCTCTACACATGTACACACACCGTCACACACAGTCCCAAATGCCCCTCCTCTCCCCTCTTGGTAATTTGAAGGCTGTGTGTTAACTCACCTCAATCTCAGAGGAGGACCTAAGCTTTCTTCTAAGATCCTAAATTGTGCTCCTTGAAAAGTAAGAAAACCCTCCCCTTCAGCATCTGTCTTCAGTCACCTTTAAATCAACCCCTTTATAACCATCCTGCTAACTTAGCATCGAGAATGGAAGGAACTAAGGAACTTGCTAAAGAGAAGAAAACCTGTGAAGGCTGGGCTTACTTCCAATTAACCCTGTCATTCTTAAATAAAAAGAAAGCAGATTTCTTGAAGATGATTGAAAGCCAGCCACTAGAGATAGGAGTGGTCCGTGAGCCAGTGCTAAAATAACCACCACCCCTTCCTGAATAGACAGAAGACAGAAAGGAAAGGGAAGAACTATGAAGTATTTGGTTGTAGTCAGAACCACTGACTACAACCGCTGTTTGAGGACTGCTCTATGAAATTTTGCTATAATTAAGACGTGATACAAAATATTTTAATTATAGCTAACTCTACTTCTAATACAAAGTAAAGAAAAATATTAAAAATATTACCTAAATGACTATTTAGTTGAAAGACATCCCAAGTGAGTAGTGATCAAAAATTCCTACGTTGTACCAGACACCAGCCATTGTCTTAGCATACGTGAGGTGAGATGGTCCTTCCAGCTCATTCATATCTGGCAGATGCTTGTTCTGATCACAAACTGCCATGTTTTAAGTGATCAAAATTTCATATACCAAACCTGATATAACCAAAGGGCTTTGGAGGGTGGGGGAAGAAGATTACACAGTATTTCCTGAATGTTTCAAGTCATATTTTTTTTTTCACTTTGTGTGATTATTTCTAGCATGCATAAAAATAGACCAGCTGTTGTCTCTGTACTTTCTAAACAAATACTGCAGATTTGTAATGATATTTTATAATGAAAGAAGTCTTAACACTCCACTAAGCCAAGCCCTCATTTTAGAATTTATAGAAACCATCCCAGAAAGGTTAAGGGTCTTGCCGAAGGTCACAATTCTAGATAGTGACAAAAGTAGAATCAACTAAAACCCACACTGTCTGACTCCCAAAGCAATGTTTTTCCCTACCTCACAAAACATCAGCTTAATTTGGACTTTTTGGGGATGTTCATGAGCACCCCTCCATGTTCATACACAGTGGGACTTAAGAGCAAATCATCATTATGGAGTGTGGAAAGTACAGGGGTCCAATTGAGGTGACTGTTTTTTAAGTAAGATCATTCTGTTTTCTTCACCCTGTTGGTGCTCTAAGTCTTAGCTTGCAGGAACATAATATAAAAAGATTCTGATGAATAATTCAATCCTCATAAACCAAGTCAACAGCATTAATTGGTAAGGACATGTTACAGTGTAAGTTCCCTGTGGCTTATCAATGAATACTTCACAGTTTATGGGAAGAAACATTTTTTAATATGGTCCATGGTGGAGGCATAGGAGCAAGATAATTACACACACAAATGCATTTCACTGGAGGATGGAGCTAATAAAATAACAAGAGGGAATCGAGTACAAGTATAATTTTGTATATTTAAGCATATATGGCTTAAGGGCCAAGCTTTATCATAGATCATATATTTATGCTTAATTGTTGAGAATGTTTACAGCTTGTTTTTATGAAGCCCTTCTAATGAGGGATTCAAGCTAAGAGATTTTAAATCGAAGAGATTAAATTCCCATCTACTTTAAATTAGGTTTTTTTACTATTATTTTTACTAAAATCTAGGCATTCGTCTTGCTGCTTGCATAAGTAGAAGCTCATTTCAAACTCAAGATCAAATACAAATGCACAGTAAATTTACTTTAAATTAATGTTAAAAATCACATTAATTCCACACTTGTGCCTGAGATAATAAGTACAGGAATTACTATGATTATACCATCTTATGTAATAAGTGCAAAAGCTGTGATAAGAAGAAAGTGCCATATTAAAAAAGAAACATACAAAAAACTATGAGGGTATTTGACTAGGCGTGTTTTGTAGTTAGTGAAACAATAGAAATCCACTTTAATTTGGAATTATACAGAAAGGGACAAATTAAAGTTTATTTCCATACTATCAAACAGTTCGTCAGTCTGTTAGGAAAATATAAGCAATGCTCCAGAGGCAGGTGGTGTTGGACCACCCTAGAAGAACAAAAGCTGACCGGGAGATTTTGGGGTGTTCTTTTAACAGCATCCATTGGGTACTTTGTGCTCAATGGAGGTAGTTGTGTGCTCAGTAAGCAGACACCTTCGCTACCCTAAGCAGGCATGTCCTTTCAGGTGTCTGAGACTCTCCTAGGTGTCTGCTTCCTCAAACTGACTTCCTGGCACAGGCTTCCCCCTGAACTCCACCCTAAGCTCTGAGGCAAAAGCGTGGTCTCATTCTTGAATACTTCTAAGGCCACGCAGCTGGGCTTCCCTTTCCTGAGCAGGACGCTAGCATGACTAAATCCAGAAAGATTTAACAGTTCTCCCACAGCAAGTCTGATAAGTTAGAATATTCCCTGAAATGGGAATGACAAAGGTCTCTAACAAGCTTTTCTAGTCATTATTTGCTGCATTTTAGAATATGGGCTGATTAAACTGCCTTCTGTAGTCTTTCTGTTGTGCCTTGGAACCTGGAAGACCTCTATTATAATAGCTTTCCATCTCAACCCACACTCAGAAAGTGAGAGCAAAAGGTTACCCCACCCTAGCTGTTCTTTCATTCAACAAGGGAGAATTACCTTAAAAAAAAAAAAAACTAAACTAAAACTAAACAAACAAACAAAAAAAGCAAATACAAAAGGAAAGCGTGGTATTCATTTTAGCTTGATAAAATGAGAGAAACACAATAAACCATTTTAGCTCTAACCCCACATCACAGTGCTCTCAGGGTTCCCTCCTGGCTCTTCTAGTCTGCAAGGGAGGCTTCTACAGTCATGACCAGAATGTCAAGAATGACTTGGAGACACTTTTAATTTACCTAAATGGTAAAAAGTGAAATGTCTGCTTAGTACAACTTAATTTAGACTTTTTCTAATTCAGATTGATTTTCTTCTCATTAACCCAAGATGAATCATGGAATCAAGGAGATGATCTAATCCAACTACCTCATTTTACAGATTAACAGAGAACCTTTCAGGTTCAATGCCACAGGCAAGTTTTAGCAGGTAAACTGAGTCCTAGACCAGCATTCTTTCCATAAACGATCAATGTGGTAACCAGAAACAAATTTTTTAAGTAAAATTTCTTCCATTTCTTTTAATTTTTTGAAAATTAAACACGAAGTGCATGAATGCTTATCCATTATAAAATACCCAGTACAGAAATACAGAGCGAAGTCTACCTCCGTACAAACGTGCTGACTCCATTCCCCTTTTCCAAAGTATTCCTTATGAATCCTTTCAGAAATTTTTCTATGCATTTGCATACATATGTATAGATACTTAGAGGGAACTTAAAATCAAGTCGTTTAGGGAACTGTTTCTTAGACCACGTTGGCTTTAACTTTCTTGGGCAGAAGCAGGAGTTTCTGAGATCCTTATTTCTCTCCCAGATGAGTCTCTATCAAATGTAGGAGTGGTTAGTAGAGACATTTCACAGACCTGTTTGTGTACCATCAAGCTCTATCACATCCTGAAGCGTAAAGATGAATTCCAACATGCAATATTCTGTTTTTTCTTATTGGAAATAGAGTTTCTGTTTTTATGTCACCAACTAAGGCCCATGTACTGTGAGAGAAGAGAGTGAATGACCCACACCAAAACCCAAATAGATTTTCTTGACAGGGCTTCCTCGTCTCAGCAGAGGCACAAATACTGTAGAAGGTGGAGTCAAGAGAATAAACTATGTGATTCCATTTTTTTAAACAATGGCTAGTGAAGATTCTGTTAATCCTTACTATTTTCCTGGCCACCTTCCTTAGCTATCCTATCTTTCAAGCTAGCTACCCATAAAACTGATTAATTGTAGTAAGACAAGAGCATAGGTTGGCTTGGTCACCTCCTCTTCTTTTCCTGCCCATCTTCCCATCCAGCTTTCCCCTTTCTGGTTGTATCTTCTTACGTATTCCTGACTCTGCTTGAAAGCAAGCTGTGTGAAACCCAGATATTCTGAGTTGCCAGCTTTAGAGAGGAGAGCTGGCCAGTTTCTTCATGTACTAGACTGGAGAGACCCAGGAGCCCCCATATCCCAGGCCTGGCGTCTTCAGCTATTTGACCTGGAGCAAGTCACTTCATTTCTTATTTACCACATCTCTGAAGTGAAGGAGTGAACAAGGATGTTCCCTAAGGTCTCTTCCAGTTCAAAAAACTCAGGTCCATTCTTACTTAAGTAGTAGGAAATGATTAAGCACATGCAGTCTCTAAAACTGCAGAGCTTTCCAGCACCTTCATGTTTCCCTGTGTGCAGTGGCCCTCCTACTGTGAACACATGGACGATTCCGCTGCACATTTGACAAGAAGAAATGGCTTTTTCATTGTCTGTGGTAGGAGACAAGCTACAGGTACTGTTTATTTCCCCAAAGGACTTCGTGTATGAAATGCAGGGTGTATTAAATTTATCAAACCCAATAAGAGAAAATCTGCCATTTGATGTTGAGATAGCATTCTGGGAGCCAGGTCAGAGTACTGCATTTGTTCCCTGGAGTCAGGCCAAACCAGGAAACCCATCCCTTGGCTTGCTGCGATTCATCGTGAGTCAGTAATGGGTTTACACCTGTAGAAATCAAACTGTCAGATCAGATGCGAAAGCCCATCCTCAAACTTGTATTTTGAGAGTCATGGCCCCAAAAGAATTGCAAGTTGCTTTCCATGTCATCTCTACCTGGCCACATTCTGTCAGTAGAGCGCTGTGTGGATATTTTACTGAATGAGAGCAGGGGCGTAGCATGCCAACGTCTGACCTGTGTGCAGGTGTTAGTAAATAAGACTTCACTGAGATTCTAATGTGAGCACAGCTGTAAGAGAGAGAAATGAACCAAAAAAAGAGATGAGGCTGGGAGTCTGGAGGCCTGGGTCTCAGCCTCTGTCTCCAGGGCAGCTGCTGGGCACCCTTGGGGCCTTGGGCAAATCACCTGTTCTCTGTGAACTTCAGCTTCCACACCTCTACATTAAGAGGGTCAGAGTAGATGTTTCTTTTGGCCGAAAAGTTTTATACACCTGTTGGTCACACACCACAGAAAGTAGAAAACAACATGAGTGCAATACCTATCCATCAGTACTTCCAATTATACATTATCGTTTCAAATAAATGAGGAACTATTATAAGGCAGTGATGTGTTATATGTGTCAGGAAATGAGAGAAGCTCTCGGGCTGTCAACATACCTGTGTATTCCTTCATTCATCCTTTTATTCATTCTGTGTACAGAGTAATTGCATGTGTGAAATGTGTGCCTGTGAAAGAGAATCAGAAAAAACAAAAGATATTTCTATCCTTCAGGACCTTTTAGATATGTTTTTAAAAACAAAAACAAATGCTCTTCTGAGCTAACAATTAAAAGAAATAATGACAGTTTCCCAAATCCTGAATTATGTCCAGCAGGAACCTAAATATCTTTCTCATATCATTGTTAACCACAAATGATTTCAAGGAAAAGATATTTTGTTCTATTGAAATTTTCATCGTAGACAGAGCCTATATCCGTGTGGGAGCATAGAATCAATTCTGGCATGAGGACTCCCAAACCATTACTCCCATCATTACAGGGCTGGGGGGTTACTAGTCCTTCAGGAAGTTGGGAAGGTTGTTGGCACCTGCACCTTCCTCCGAAGACAAATCGAACAACTGCGTGCACACCAAGATACACCTGTTCACAAGGCCTTGCGAGTCTCCTTTGAATTTTAACAACAAAGACTAAACACCAAAGAAAGATTTGTAATGAGAGAGCTTGGGATTTCGGCCTGTCAGCTAGATAAAGGGCTATTCTGGGGACTAGAGACTTTGTGGGAACCCTTCAGGTCTCTCCACCTGCGAGTGAACCCAAGCACACTTGATGCATCGCTAGCAAAGTCCTGGTCCCCAAAGACTTCGCAGAAATCCAAAGATGCTAAAAAGGTCAGGGTTTAGTTCTGTAGATGATTTTATTTATTGCAAATGTCCCCAGTGTCAAATGTATCTCTTTCTCCACCAGGAATATATCATTTTGGAGGCTTGTGAAAATTAAACTTCAGGAAAATTCTGCTTCCCTCCCACTAAACTGCATCCACGTGTCCCAAACAAAATTGCTTTCTTGACCTACACACACAGCTACCTATTTCTGTTTAAGTCTGTGACTCAGAGAAAGTGACCAGAAGAAGTCATGAGAGGTGATGGCTCCCATTTCACCTGCCATAGGCAGGACAGGGTCAGCCCAGTGGAATTCAGCTAAGATCGAAGGGGTGTGTTGGGGTGGTCTCTTTCTTCTTAGTTCTTTCCTGAACTCACTCATTCACATTGTATTGCTCTTCCCAGTAAGTTATTGCTGAGAAATTGTTTTAGTAAGTGACGTAGATGTCTCCGATGGTCCCTCTCCTCCATAATCCTCCTGCCCTTTCAGCTCATGCCCTAGAATCCTTGCTCCATGTCCCAAGGAAATGCATTACCCTTTTTCTTTTCAGGGAAAAAACATCAATTGATGTCTTAGCCCTGCCACCTCACCCTCTTTTATCTAAGAATAGAGAAGCCTTTCCATATTTGTTGTCTTTTTCACTGAAGCTTAGTATAGACCCCCAGGCAGGACAACTCCATGCTACCTTCTGTCGCCTGTAATTGTCCTTCCCCCGAACTGGGGGAAAGGTTATTCTAATGAACCAGCTGCTGAGTCTTTTCCTATTTGGTCTTTTATCAATATTGCTCTACCAGTAAATTCTTTGTTAGGTAGGTCCCGGAATTTATTTCATGTTTTTTTTTTAACTTTAATTTTTTTCCTACAAAATTGCTTCTTTTATCTTAGAGCCGACTATGATCTTTCTCTTCTGCGTACTTTATAATACAATTTGAACATAATGGAACATTCTAAAATAGGCAGGGATTTCATCATAGCCAATATTAAATGCCAGGAGAGGCAGGTCATATTAAAAGAGAAAAAAGAAAAAAGATCTAGGATGGAGGAGGCTGGGTCTCATCATTCAACCGGTATATTTTAGGCTCCTGCTGCATGCTGAGCCCTGGGCTAGGCACTGAGGATGCAGAAACAAGTAAGATATTGTGCTGGGCCTCACATTCATTTTCTGATGAGTCCATTCATAAAAACTGTAATTCAAAGCTAGCAAGCCCCCCCACCTCCCCGCCCCGCAAAAGGCTGCTGGAAGGTTTGTAGCTTTTTTTTTTTTTACTTTATTTATTTTGAGGCTGTGAGAGCATGAGCAGAGGAAGGACAGAGAGAGAGGGAGAGAGAAAGAATCCCAAGCAGGCTCCATGTGGAGTGCAGAGCCCGATGCAGGGCTTGAACTCATGATCAGTGAGATCATAACCTGAGCCGAACACAAGACTGAGCCACACAGGCGCCCCCTGTGGCTTATTTCTACAATTATCTGTGGGATCTTTCTATTTGGAAGAACATGTTCTAAATCCTGTTTTCTTGGGCCATTAAAAATCCAGGCGTATCCATAATCAATGTATGGCTATGTAACCTTCTTAGTATAAAATACTCTGGGACAGCTTTTGAAGGGAAAGGCAGAGAAATCTGTTTTGATGACTTGAAAAGGGGGTAAAGGTTTTAGGGAACGCTTCCAAAGATTTCCGATCTGTTAGTGCTCATTCAGACATGGGATTGGGCAAAG